GATTGTCATTTGGTGCGTGAGAAATTTCAAGCTGGTATTGTTTCTGCACATTACTAATCTCTTCCTCTCATCAACCAGCTGATATTTTCACAAAGGCATCGGGCAAGGACAATTTTTATTTGATGCGGGACAAGCTGGGCATTCATGACCCTCATGCACCAGCTTGAGGGGGAGAGTAAACAGTATCTGGTATAAAGTATCTGGTATAAACAGTTTCTGGTAGAAATCTCTCGGAATCAGGAGCATATTTGTGTACAGTTATAACTCTCCTAGATTTTAGGCACAAGGTTAGTTAAGTTATGATTCTGATATAGTTCTTTTGTGTATATATATATGTACAGTGACATACATTATGAATAGAGAATATAAATTAATTCAGCAATTTACACCACAAACACTGGTTGTCACAATGAAAGGATTGACGGTGAGATGCAGAGAATTTTAAGCATATTAACTAGCATTGATCTCTCAAAAAATCAAACAAATGAAATTGAGAAATAAAATAAAATAAAATAAAAATAAAAAGACAAAAACCTGCAAGTGCCCTCGACATCTTTCATGAGCTTGGATACGAGGTTCTCACGGAGGTTGCGGCCGAAGTGGCGCGGATGCAGCTGCATGTTGCGCTCCAACAGTATGTGGAAGAACATGTTTGAGAGTGAAGAATGAGAGTTCCTCTCTCTATGGATTCTGGGTTCAGGAAGGAGGAAGAGAAAAAGTTAGAGATTTTAGAAGGTAACTCTCAATTGAAGAGAAATCTATGTAATTCAATTCCAATATGAAATGTTAACTCTCTTGTTCTTGATTGATTTACGCTGGCTAAGAGAAAACTGCTTACAAATTGAAGATGCAGAAGACAGAGTAAGACCATTCGACAGCTAAGTTGCAGGGGAAGAGAGAATATAGACGGCGATCACCTCAAACGACGGCGGAGCCAGGTTCACTTTGTAGAGAAAGAAGACGAGAAAGACAGTTGATCGGATGGCGGAGATGTGGCGAAGAAGGCGGGAGCGTGCTCTTACTCACTCGAGGATCGGAGAGTTGTTGATCGGAGTGTGGAAGAGATGGATAGCAGGACGAGAGAGAGAAATCAGACGGTGGAAGTAGCGATTGCGGCTACGGCTACGGTGGTGCTGGGAGTAGGGAGTAGGGAATCGCGTGCTTTATAAACTGGCTCTCGTTCCTCTGAAGCAGTATCCCTTCTTCCTCGCTCAGCTTGCTACATTCGGGTATTCTCCGCGCCGTTAGTGCTCTCTTAAGTTTTTTTCCTCCGTTTTAGGATTTCCAGATGCATGTTTTCCGTTTCCACGTCAGCAAATGCTTTTTCATCCTCAGTTTTCCGTCACCTCAAAAGTTAGGTTTTATATATATCTTAAAGAAGCGTTTAAACCCTCATTTTTCATCCTCCAACTTCTGTGCAATGCCATTGGTCTCCTTCACTTGTAAAATCTCCTTTTTAGCCTTTAAACTTTTATTATTTTCACTAGAAGCCGTGTGATTGCTCATTTTATTTTCTATAGTAAATATTATTTGGAAAGGGGTGGAAATGTAAGAGGCTTGGATGTAAATATTTTGCTTACTTGAAAATTTTAAGAATAAAGTTAAATCTATTTAGGTATTTCAAGCAAAATACTCCTTAAAACTAGATAATATTTGTGCTTAGCAATAATATTATATTGAAATAAGTATGTTTTTTAATTTTTTTAAATATTATATTATTTTTTAGAGTTTTATGTTTTTAAAATCTAAGAATACTATTAAGGTGTATTAGTGAAATGAAATTACTAAAATAACATTAATGAAATAACATAAGAAGAGTTTTGTTAATATATTTTAGTAAATTTATATGTTAAATTGTATTATAATTTACTTTTACAATTCATTTATAAATAAAGATTACAAGGCCAAGAGTTTTATAAATAAAATAT